GGGGGGGGGGGGGGGGGGGGGTACTCATAGTCGTGCATGCCGTGTAAATGTTGCAGCGGTAGCGTTTTTCCTGGGAGTCATGACCTCGGCATACGGCATACCTAGCATGGCAGCTCTTGCCCGCCGCGATTGTTTCGGGATCCAATAAGCAACTCATCCGGCAGTGCAAAGTGCCAAGATATGCCCTCCAAGCCCTGGACTCGGGTCGCAAACCGGAGACGCAAGGGCCTGTACAATAGGTTCAACCGTTACAGGACGCGGGCTTCCCAAAACCCATCGAAGCGCCGAACGAGTTAGGATACAACAGAGAGCAGATCCTTCTCCACTCAAAGATCTGCTGTCTGTAGTATTTTAACTTGTTCAGCGCGTCGATGGGGATTTGAAAAAGCCCGCGTCCCGCACCGCTTGAACCTATTGGAGAGGTCGGCGCGTCTCCGGCTTGCGGACGGAGTCCAGGGCCTTGAATGAGTCTCTTGGTGTTTCGCACTGCCGCCGGAGGAGCTGCCTGTCGGATTCCGAAACGATCGCAGTGGACAAGAGCTGCAACAACTCATTGTCTCCAGCGCGCTATCTCAGCAACGAATTCTGGTTACTATTTCCCCGCTCTCACGCGTGACGTCAAGCGTCATCCATCACCTTGGCCGTTCTTCCCCAAACATGCCACCCCCGTACAAACACAATCCCGCCACACCCCCCTCCGTCGGCTCACCTGTAACCGTCGACGGTTGCTCTCCCGTCCACCCAGGCCACGGGAAGACCCAGGCCGGTCCAACGATGCTCGGTCGCACTACCCTCAGCCGCAGTCGGCAAGGTTTCGGCGAGCCACGAGAGTCGCCACTAGTAAGACCGCGCCCGCCCGCCGCCAGCCGCCCTCCGGCCTCATCATCACCGCCCTCCTCGACATCGGAAGCGGCGGCAGCGGCGGCCAACCTGTCCAGCCTACGATTGTGCGCGCTCAGCGCCCTCACAAGGAGGTGCTCGCCGAGAGCCTTCGTAAAGGTGTACGTGTTCGGGTACCCCAAATCAGCCATGGCGTCGACGGCTTCCTTTCCCGCCCCGCCGCCCCCGCCGCTACCTCCGCCGGCGTCTGGAGCCGAGGGGGTCCGCTGTGCGCTTCGGTACAACCGTTCGGGGCTTCTGCCGCCAAGATCAGGGAGCTCTTGAGGCAGGGGGCAGGAAGCTGTGCCCGACTTTCCGCCGTGGACGAAAGCGGTCGAGACGTGTATCAAAGTCCTGAGGGTGGTGCGGAGTACACGCGCGGCGGACGGGGGGGGGGTGTACTCATAGTCGTGCATGCCGTAGTCGTTAGACCATTGACCTCGCATCCCTACAAAGCCGGGACGGAGCACGCCGGGTTCTCACCGAACCAGGCTCTTGGGGTTTACTGATGTAAACGCATGCCGTAGTCGGTAGACCCTACACCTCGACATCCCCACAATGCCAGGGTCGAACGGTTGTTGCCGGCCCGGCCTATACCGCATCAACAACCATCATGTCCTATCCAGCCACCGAATGAAAGCCGAGGGACGGCAGTGTGGTCAGCGACGTTGGACAAGGCGTGTTGATCGAATCGCCATCGTGGATGTATCTCGGGCGCGGTACCCCATGGCTTCGCTCTGCCCTCTTCCGTCTTGATTGTTCTGTCTACACGCCAGCAGGACGATTTTGTCTAGAAAGGGGTCTGGGACGGCGGCATGACACTGAAAACGGTGGGTACGCCACCCACAAGCTCCAAGCTCATGCCACAGAAGTACACAGATTTACACCGTCCCCGCTCGTGACTCTGTGCCGTCCGGTCCAGCAATGGCAGCTAGGCTAGCCATAGGGGCGAGGGTCATAGTTCATTTGTGTGAGCTTACTTCTTGCAAGGCAAGTTGGCTCGGAGATAGGCTCTTCATGTACCATGGCACAGTTTGTCCTTGCGGGGCGCGTCACTCCCGAATTGGAACGAGAACTAAACGCCCACACTCACACCGGTCGCCCCGGTGGTCTAGTGGGTAGCCTCGCAGCCTGCCAAGGGCCAGGTCATGGGTTCGAGTCCCGACAGAGTGAGTTTTTTCTCGCTAATTAAATCCTGGTCTCCGTTGGAAGCGATGCGCTGCAAGGCTCGTTGTTAGTAAACTTGATCGACTTCATAAGTCGCGAGGGAAGGGATTGCTGTACCCTTCTCGCGATAATAAAATCTCAGGCAGGAACCGCAGGAGAGGGTCCAACCCGCCCCTCCAATGTGACCCCGGTTGGGTCGTCTAGCTGGTAGAAGTGGAGGACAGGGGCCAGAGGGGCAGACGACAGAGTTCAATGATGGGAGAAAAAAAAAAAAACTCAAGCGATATGACACGCCGGCCCGTTCAGAGCACAACAAACGACGATCTCGAGCGTATAAATCAAAAACCAAAACAGCGCGCGGGTTATCCCAACCCCACAAGACCCGCGGTGCCGCCCAAGAGCTTGCACTCGGCCGCTGCTGCACGACCAACCAAAACAAAGACTACCACCTCACCCGCATGACGGCCAGGATGCCACTAGGGCGGCCACCCTTAGTGCACCGGTAACGTTCGTCGCCGCCGCCTCCGCCAGGGGGTCGCTGAAGCTCACGCTCGCGGCGCAGTGCAGCGCGTGGGTCACGCCGGCTCCTGTCAGCAGCGCCCGCGACTCCGCCGACAGCCCCAGCCCTTCTCCACCCAGCTCGCCTTCTACGGCGATGACCACCGCTCCCCGCCGCTTCTTCGGCGGGAGACCAAGGGCCTCACGGGACGGGGGGAACGGCAACGGTGACGCTCTCTCCGCGGAGGGAGTGTCGGTCTCTTCGTCCACCCAAGCCCCGCTCTCCCGCAGGGGTCGGAACATGGCGCTGTCCCTTATGGAGGCCAGTCTATCCGAGGGGGCCACGCCCTTCTTGCCCCTTACCAGGACCACCACCGAGCGGAGCCCCTCCGACGCCACCCCTCCCAACCCGGCTTTGCCGCCGCCGAGAGCTTCGCCGGCCTCGTCGTCATCGCACGAAGGACCGCCGCTCGATACCGCCGCTCCTTGCCGGAGCAGGTCGAACAGAACCATCTGCCCCACCAACCCCGTGACGCCCGTCAGGAACACCACCGCCCCGCTACCCTCGGCCGCCGCCGTCGCCGTAGACCCCCCGTTCACGCTGTGACACCCTCCTCTGACGCTACTGCTCGCGTCGGGCATCAATCGGGGGGCGCAGAAGTCCCGCGACGCCCGCGTGCCCGGCCTGAACAGGCAACCGACGGGATCGTCATCTACGCACGCCTCCGCCGGTGGCAACTCCTCGGCCATCCTGCCGCAGTCGTCTCCGCTGTCTCTCCCCGCACGCCCGCCGGGGCCGAGAGGTACCCCTGCCGCTGCTGCTGCTACTGCTGCTGCGCGAGAGAGGGCCTCGGGGACGACCGGACTCTGGGCGAAGATCTCTTCTCGCCATCGCGCCACGCGCACCGCGCACCACAGGCACGCGGCCCCTACCGCCGCCAACAGCACCCAAAACAGCACAAAAGCGGTCCAAGCTCCCCACCAAGCACCCAGTACCTGCCAAACGGTTGGCCAACCAGGGGAGGAAGTGTCTTCCTCATGAACTTCGAGTGCCCCCCGATCTCCCCTGCGGGCCAGAGCGACCACTAGTGCTAGCGCCACCGCGACGGCCACCTTCCCAACGCCGGCGGCGCCGATCCCCCCGCCGTCGATGGCACCCGCCCACCGCCCTGCCGAGCAAGAACATTCCTCAGGACGACGATCATCCATCTGTCCTGTCTGTCCGCCCTCCGCATCTCTCCCCACCCTCCGTCGGAGTCGCTCCGTGCTTCGTTCCCCCGTCCCTCTCGTAGCCGCTGTCAGCTCTACGTGTCGACCCGCGAGATCAAGATCGCCGCCACCACCGCTGCTGCTGCTGCTGCTGCTGCTGCTGCTATTACCGCTGTCGACATGTCGCGGGGCCAATACCTCTGCTCCACCACCTTTGGCTGCTGATGCTGCCGCTGTTTGAGGCTGCCGGTCGACGTCGTTGTGTTGGCCGTCATCGCTCGCAGCCTTCCCGGAGCCAGCCGCTGGCGCGGGGGTGACGTGAGTGTGGGTAGGGAGAGGGGGATGAGCCATGCATTGTGCTCGATGGCTGTGCAACTCTATAAACCACCGTGGTGAGCCTTGTGTAACATTTCGGTAGCGCCACACTGCAGCTTGGAAACATGTTCTCGCGTAAAGTAACAACCAAACACCCGTCAATACATCATAAGACGATGCGGCCGCTAGCAGTGCCGTTTGCCTTCGATGCCGGTGCCGGCCGACCATACGTTTTCCGCCCTCCCTGCACCCTGTCGGACCGGCTAACTAATACCTTTTACCATGCTCATATTCTTGTTTCACCGAAAGCCCATCGATCTGACATACGTTCAGTACCTCCGTCCTCTATACACCACAGTACATAGTCACACCAGCAAGACACAAGACACCGGTTGCTGACGTGGTGATCGTAACCTACTCGACATAGGTACCGACATAACGGTGACGCACCCACAAAGGAAATAGATAAATAGGCAAAAGCACGCGAACAAAATCGCGGCGAATAAACGAGCTACTCATACACGATGCGAATGACGCGACAAGACAAAGAGTCCGATGTTTCCTCTCCCTTTTCGTTGTGAGTGACAGCAGTCTCTGCACCAGTGGCTGCTCACCTCTGTTCTCAGGACACACAGCACCGGCGACCCTGCAGTACCGCTGCATGGCCTCCGATACTCCAAGCCCTTCGCAAGACTTCCAAGAATTCCTGGGCGAATTGGGTGCGGGATGGCGTTGGGATGGGGTTGAGAGAGAGGTGGCGACTGTGGCTGGGGCGGCGTGTAACGCGGGGTTTGTTTATGCTGGCGACGGGGGGACGGCGTCATGCGCACCGCAGGGACTCTACCCTTGAGTCATCCCTACCATCAAGGAGCTCCCACGTCCATCGGTATGCTTGTGTCTTACGACCGAGTACCTACAACAATACCGGCCTGTCCCCTCTCCCTGTACGGGGATTTCGTGCAATCATGTTCATTGACAAAGACCTCAAATAGGGACATTGCGCCCACAACAGAGAGCCCCCCATACTTCGCTCCCCCGCCGACAAAAACACCACAACTGCGAGTGTTGGCATGGGCAGACGGTATGTAGTACACCATAGTAGTCATTTGACTTCACGTGTACACGCAGTGTGACCGCAAAACCCGTACCTCTCTTTCTTGTGAGAGTGAGGTGAACGAACCGCAACACCTACGAGCATTTCTGGGGTGCTATTGTACTACGGTGCGGTCCCACAAGAGCCGTTCAGCAAACGCGTCTGTACGCACGAATTCTGAAAAAAAAAGGCACTTGGGGGTGCCGGCTGGGCAGAGCTCATGACAATGGATTGTACATCCGGGAGCACACCCGCTGCTGCTGCGAAGACACTCGGCTCAACAAATCGTACAAAAAAAAGCCGTAACTCCACACACACGGGTTCTCAGGCGGGGCAAACGGCTCAGAGCTATGTAGGGGTGCAGGACCTGCGGAGTACGAGCGGAGTAGTCTGCTCACCACTTTGCTCGTCCGGTGGGATCGAAGAGACCAGGCCGTTGCGATTGGCAGTCGCCGAAGGATGCCTGCTTGTACAGCCCGTACAGGACGAGTTGCTGCGCACGGCAGAGCCGCGGCGGCGGAACCGGAAGCGGCAGCGGCAGCGGCCGGGGGGGG